AATGAAATATAATTGAAATCTGTGCATAATTTGCTTTATTTCAAAATAGTACAAAAGGGCTAATTTAAGTTCGCTAAAATTATATTAACAAAGCACTAATAGCCAGTAATTAAGCAAATTAGAAAAATGAAATGCAACTTAATTAATGCAAGAAAAATGGCATGTCACAATAGTTCACAAAAATTTATTATCATTTAAAATGAAAATGATAAATTAATTTATCACTTCAATTATCAATTAGCATTTATTGTTAAGACTTCATATAATTATGTTTACTAATTAGAACTTAAACGCTTATATTATTAATAAAGTATATCTAAGAGTTTGGTATATTTTAGAATATTCGGAATGCAACAATAACATTTGGATAAACTTACTTAAAAATCAATGCTTCCTTGCTGAGCCACATATTACCACAACCCGATGGCAATAAACAAATTTTTGCTGCAAAAGAAGATGAAATACAAGTAGTAAAATTAATATTTCGCAATGATACAATCAAATTTTATCAAACGTTCACTGTAAATAATTAATTTGAAAGAAAAGAAGAAAAGTCTGAAAAAATACAATAAAAACTAAAGTAATCAAAAATTATAAAGAAATTTGAAAAGCATATATAAGCGATGGAATATACAAAATTTGAAAAGATTTTCAATTTTTTAATTTCTTTAATTTTTTTCACTTTATTGCACTTCGCGTTATTATTGAATTGAAAAGAGAAATGTGGAAATGTTAAAAGGAAAAATGAAGGATGAACTTTGTACCTTAATCTGATATCATTCGTTATCAATCAAATAAAAGATATTAAGCAAAATAACTCTGAGAAAAGACATTTGAGCAGAAACAAAACATATGTGATTTTAAATTTGAAGAAAATAAATTGAGAATTAGAGGAATAAGAAGAATGGAAATAAATGGACAAAATAAAGATTTAAAACTTCAAATTGAAAGAGAAGAAATTAAATGGATGGAACGTTTGTCACTAACTGATAATGAATGTCCTTTTTCATTCATTGAATAGAAGAAAATTAGTTATGCTATTATTAATGGAAAAATAATTTCGTATACGTTAATATTTTATCTTATTTCTTAAATTGCATCAAGAAATAATGAATTATTTTGAGAGACAGTACAAAGATAAAGGTCAACGATTAGAAAAGATTAGTTAAAAGTTAAAGGCCTGCAAATATTTCATACAAATATACTAAGTTACAGTAGCGAATATGAAAGGCAAGCCGCATTAATTATCAATTCTTAAGCCAATCAATAGCCCTTAGGCTAGCAAGTCTTCTTTATAGCCGATTGTATGTTAGCTCTTGATGATATTTATTGACCGGGCCTTATTTTCGATATTTTTTCAGAATAAACATGACTGCGACGACACACTCCTTATAGGATACATATTATTTTTTTACAGTCTTTTAATTAATAATTGATTATTAGCCATTATTTATTGGTTAGCTAAAGCTAAATTGGATCAGCTTAAATTAAAATTAAAAGAGAGAAAAACAATCAAATCAAAGATATTAGGCAAAATAACTCTGAGCAAAAGCAAAACATAAATGATTTTAAATTTAAGGGAAATAAGCTAAGAATTTGAGGAATTAAAAAAGTCATTGAAATGGAAATAAATTGACGAAATGGGAATTTAAAATTTCATGTCACAGTAAATCACAGTTAATGTTATAAATTGAAATAAAATACCTTAAATAACAGTGTCAGCAAGAATGTCAAAATATAATTTCATATATATAATTAATAGAAAATTTTGATAATAAGCAATTTTATAATAATCTTTTATTTTTGTGATAAAAGAAAATAAATGAAAAAATTTTAAATTTCAGTTTAAATTCATAAATTTCAATATTAATTTATAAAATGATGAAATGATTGAAAATTAATACCAATTTTAATTCGATAAAATTAATCAATCAAATTAATTAGCATTAATAAAACAATTAATGGAAGTGCGATGGAATAGCATAGATTATGCTATATTTCATTTTATTTCTATTAGAATAGTTACCAACGAACAGCTACCATTTTTTAATTAATTCAAATTCTGATATGAATTCAGTGTATATTATGTGTGTGTGTGTGTGTGTGTGTGTATCAATGTGGTAATTCAAATTCAAAACATTACCGCCAATGAGATTACCTCACTTATAGTGGTTAAAATTAGCACTTATTTATCCTTGCCTATTAGCTGATGTTTATCATTTTTTACTATCAGAGCATGATAGATAGAAGCTTCTCTTCCCTTTACCGCCTCTGTATCAAATGATAAGAGAGATTTAGAGTGATGTCAATGAACAGCATGGGATGATGAAATTATTTACATGGAAGGAAAAACAGCGACAAAAAAAAAGAATGTTAACGGGAGATTTCCGAAAAGAAGAAAATGTTATCATCGGTTGGGTAGTCAGCTGATGGTGCGATCTTGGCATTTTTGATGGATTCGTACTTCTCTGCTTCTCATACCGCCGTAAGCCTAAACGTCGTTTTCAGTTGTGAGTCAAACCTTTCAAAAAGTGCCAAAGTATAAAGCCAATAGATGTTTGGATGTATGTGTGGGTCTGTGTATGTGTGTGTATGTGTATGTATGAGTGTGCATGTGTTGTTGCTATGTAATAATCATCTTTACTCTTCCTGCAACTACTGCTAATACTACTACTACTGCTACTACTGACTGCTATTACTAGAACTATCGCAACAAATATTCCGGTTAAACTTAACAACAGAAGTAGACGAAAATTCTTCGGTGTCGTAGTGTGAGAATGAAAATGATCTTATCAATAGTAATTAAATTCTTTTTATCAATCCTTTCATTTGCATCATAAAATAATCACTCAAGCCTGATGTTATATTAAAGGGAATTAAAATTCAGAATGAATTTAAGTGAATGAAACGATAATTAGCAAAACTTTTTTTAGTTTACTCAAACACTTCAAAATGAATGTTACTGTACGGCGAATGATAATTGTAATGAAATGATAAAATCGATCGATAATTGTTATTGACTTCAGTAAGGATAATAAAAATTTTAAAAAATAAATAAGAAAAAGGAAAATGGTTGATAGGCCCGGATGATATATATGTATACATAAAAGAGTTCAAACAGCTTAGAAACCCATGAGTTGCAGCAATAAAACACTTAGCATCGTTTAGCATTTAGTAGTTCAGATTTTATTTTTCGATGAACTATTCAAAAAGCTTCCATTAAATCTTATGAAATATAAAAGATATAAATAGCCTTAGACAGATTTTCATTAAATCTGAAATTTTACTGCCTTCTGAATTTTGTTTACATTTAAATGATAATTTATATCTTTTATATTTTATAAAATTAATACTTAAGGAATGTTACATCTAAAAAAAATATATCATCTCCCATACTTTTAGTTTGATTTTCAGAAAGATGACAAGTAAGAGCTTTCTGCATGCGATTAATTCAATTGAATTTCTATTTTGACAGATTTCCATTGAATCTAAAATTTTACTGCCTTCTGAATTCAATTACTTTTAATGAATCCGTTAACTCGTTGAAAAATTATGCAATATTACTGACACGATAATGTTGCAATCCAATAAGTTCAGGCTTATTTATTATTATTACTCCTTTTCGATGCTGAAAGCAGGCTTTTGCTATCTAACAAAGTATTGGTTTAGGCTTAGGCTTTATGCAATACCTAGCCGATTGATAATAATAAGAAATTATCAAAATAGATCTGTTAAACTTTGTCTGAATTTTATATATCAAAAATAGTTGTGTAAAATTCCACATTAAATCAATTAGGATATTTCTTTCAAATACCTCTGATATGATATATCTTACTAAAAAAAAGATTTCCGATTATTAGCAGCAGCATTTCGCCAACATTTTGATATTAAAGTGAAACAAATATTTAATTTTGAACTATTTCTAAATGAATAAATTTATTTTGATATAAAGGTTTTACAAAAATTAACTTTCCTCAAATGAATTATTATTATTATTCGAAATGAAGGAATTGTTTTCGGAAAAAACCAAAATTCAATTATATTATTTAGTATAGATAATTTTAACAATAAAATATAGCTTATAAACAATTGTAAGTTAATCCGGTTGAGAATGTGAAACAGGAAAAATATATATCAAAAGTAAAAACAAAATACTTGAAAGATTAAAAACTAAACATAGAAGCGATTAATATGATAATAAGCAAAAGGATCAAAATCTAAATACTTATCCCCGCATCCATATGTCACTAATTTATAGACTAAAATTTTCAACATTATTCCACTCTGCCAAGTGCCACACTTCCATTTTTTCCTTCGATTTTGTTAAATCATTTTTATTTTCTCTCTCATTTTAATTATAATTTAAAAACCAAATGTAGTAACATCCAACTTCAAGACTTCTTAACTTTTTACTGCAGTTTATATGATTACATACTTTTTATTAATAAATATTTATTCGTCAGGCTCGTCAGATTTGTACCTTTTATTTTTTTCTATTAATTAATCACTTAAAATTAATTAATTGGCAACTGGCAAATATTATTTCGTACTTAGCACATTACTCACAGTTATTTCTTAAATGAAATAGATTGATCTGTTGAAGCGTCTACAAGAAAAATATGAATTAGCTGCCTCTCTCCCCTACTATAGCATTTAAATCAAAGCATTATTGATTTTAAAAGAATGAAGTCAAAAAAGTTTAAAAAGAACTAACAACACTTAAAATATCCATAGTATATCAACAACCCGTCCATGCTAATTACCGCCTGATAATGGAGCTTATTGCACATTCCACTAAGAACCTCTCGGGTATATCAATTTCCCTTGATAGATTGATTACGGCATTAAATTAACGGTTCAAGAGAAATTAATAAGGCTTATTTACATAAGTTATAAATTTTAATTCGTTACTTTCCCTCTCCCCGTTGAATGTGTCTGAAATATACAGCTGTCCTCAATGATTCTGAAGTTTCTGCATAAATTAGATTAATGTTTGATGTTCAATAATCATGCAAAACATGCCTCTCGAGCTTTTCACAACCGATATGTTTATTAGGCCTATTGTTCATTCTTGAATTTCCGATTGGTGGCATTGTTCCGGATAATAGTTCCAGTAAATATCGATTATCATTATATGTTGTTGTTGTTAACAATCGTTCTAATCCAAAATCATTCAACATTTCCACCCGTGTCGTACGTTCATCCAATGCTAAACATTTACAATTAGACATTAAAGTTTCAAATAAATAAAAAATTCGCTCTGTTTTTTCAAAAATATAAATTCCTCCTTCAATAACGCAAAATTAACAAAAATTCCAAAGTTTATTTCTATTTTTACTTTCCTTCTAGAAAAGTTTTGAAAATGTGAAATGTTAAAGAGATGATGAGTTGCATGGGAATTTAAATTTTCATAAATTTTTAAACTGTTAGTAATATTTGGAATAAATTATCAGTAAGGATCTTACCCAATTCAGCCTCCATTACATTCGACTTTGATTTATTTCCACTTTCTATGTCGTTTTTCAATAAATTTTTCGCGGTTTTATTTTGAAATTTCGAACGTTTTGATGATAAATGTTGAAATTTCTTGGAATTATCACACTAAAATTAATTAAAAATTAATTAATTTCATTGAAAATAAATTTAAATTCTCATCAAAATTCTAAAAAAGTTTCAAAAATTCTGGAAAAATATGAAATATTGAAGAAATGATTTATTAATTTAATTTAATTTTAAATTAAAAATCACAACTTTCTTTTATTATGCCATTGCACGTTTAGAAATTTCGTCGAATGCAATAATAAACAAAAGAATTAAAGCAAAAAATAACTTCTTGAAATGGCAGAATATTATTATCGTTATAATTAAGTTACAAATTTTCATCGTTGAAGAGCAACTTCTACTCTCTTAGAATTCATTAGAAAATTTAATGAATTTTAAAATGAATAATTATACACTTTAAAATTTCTTTTTAATTATACAATATTCTATAGCACCTATTCTAAGTTGCTTCTTTCAAATTTACTTTAAAATTTAAGAATCATTCATCCTACTTCAAATTTTCGGCATATATATTCTCATAGAGTAATAGTTAGCATAAAACTAATGGTTAGCATACATTTTAAAGATATAATTAAACTATTCTACACCATTTAATTCATTTCCATATTCGATATTGTCGTCTTTTCCTTCCATTACTTTTTTATTATTTCAATTTCGGAAAAATCTTTTCCTTCTTAATTTTATCAAATAAATCAATGCTCGAAAATGCAAATTTCGTTAGATAACTGACAAACAAAAAAGAAAAAAAACTTATCGTCGAAAAATGTAGCATAATTTTTTTCATCATTGAAGAACGACAACTTTTGATAATCACAGCCAATATCAATTGAATGTGTTATCATTTACTGCTAATCACTCATGATCTTATCACGAACACTTCTTTAATTAAATAAATAATTTCAACGAATAAATAAAAATTCTGAATTTGTACTTGTATATATGTTTGTTTGTACATGTGTTGGGTATATGAATGGTTTATGTGTGTCTGTATGTATGTAATGTATGGAAATGATTGAATTCTGAAAATAAAAAGTTGTTTCACCTGAAATTTAATTTTCTAACTAAAATAATATCGTCTATGAAAGAACTGAAATGACGATCGGAAGAATCTCGACCGGATCAATTCAGTGAAAATCAGATAGATTATTTATTTTAGTTTAATTGAACAAAATGCTTTAAACTTATTAGTTAATAGTACCTCTTCTGGTTGCAGCCATGATATGCTATGCATTCTACTTTAAAAGTTTTACATTCATTCATAACTTTTTCATTGATTACTTTCATTAGAATTAGAAAGTTATCATATTTGAGAATCAATTCAAAATTCTACTTCCCGTCAGTTAAATCAATTTTAACTTTTCAAATCTTTTATTGTTAATGATAAATTTGCTTATTGGCTTATCATCGTCAAGCCTTATCATTACAGAACTAATTGAAGAAGAAAGGATGTTACACATAACTATTAGATTGAATTTCCTTAGCAGTAAAAAATTATATGAATCACTTTTTTAAATAAATCAAATCTCTCTAAACCATTTTGCAATTCAGCATAAATTACATCTTTCAGTAGTAAAGAGAGAAACTTTTGCTCGAGAATTTATCGATGACCATTGGGCAGTCATTTCTTATCAAATCATTAACGAATTAGAAAATTCTCTTAAAATTCGTGAAGATCTATGAAGCGAATGTAAAATAATTTAACATATGACTCTGACGGAAAAAAGGGTTCAATTTGTAATTAAAACTATTGGTATCACTGAGTGAGGGAGTTTTTTTGTGACCTTTCAATTTAGATAATATAAAATGGAATAGCTGAAATGGCACTACTTATCCATAATTTCGTACGACTATAATGATCATAACTGTTTGTAGAATTTCATCATGGGAAAAAAGATTAAAAGGGAGAGAGAGAGAAATAAATCTTTTAAATAAAAAAATTTGATTGGATTTCTACAAAAATTTCATTTCAATCTAATATTATTACATCCCCGTATTAGAAAGGAATATTACGCACAGAAAGTTTGAAAACTTTGTAGGAAAAATTGAATGGAAGAAGTAATGCGTTAAAAAAGAAGACAACTTTTCAGGAAGACAATTCAATAGTGCAACTGACAAGTAATCAAAAAATGAATTTGTATTCCAAAATTTCTTCTTTATGGAAAAGAAAAAATGAAAATTTTCAACTTGCGGATGAAACATTGCGCAATATTTTTTTGTCTAAACAATGAAGAAATTAATTAAATTTGTATGAATGAAATTAAGAATTTTTAAATTACATAAATTCACCGTAATCTAATAGTGAAAAATATTACGATATGATAAGCTCCAGCCAACTGAGTGATAGAATAATCGCTTACCAAATATGTGCGATACTCTTTGTGATGATAGTGTGCACAATTGTTATTGGTTATATCTTCATCTGATCGAAGGTTTTTAAAAATTTTCAAGTTTTAAGTTTAAATTTCTAAGTTTAAATTTCTAAGTCTTATATTGAATTTCTTTAAAATATTTATCACAACGTCAATTACTGATCAAACATGTCCTACCTGCTGTTAAATATTCTTGACTAAATCAAATTACTGTAATCCAGGTAGTTTATGATTAAAAAGAATAAAAATAATAGATTGAAAAGAATCCATCTACAAATATTAAGTTATCACTCATCTATTGAATGTTGCAAAAAATTATTAATTCTAACCTATTATCTTTATTCTTCTTAATCATAAACTATCTGAATTACAGTAACTCAATGCTACAGCAGTAAAAAATTATTATTAAAAAAGCTCGATGGGAAAAAGAAACAGAGAAAGAGAGGAATAAGGTAAAAATATAAAATGATACAATGAGAGGGACAAAATGAGGTCAATCATTCAGAAATTTGTACATTAAACGTCTCAGAATTAAATTTAACTGTTAAATTGAAGAAAAACACGACTGTAGTGAATTCATTTACTTAATCGATTACTTTCTTTATAAAATGAGAAAATGTGTGTTGCAAAATTATTATATCTTCCAAGTGCGCAAGCAAAAATAAATTAGCAGTTTGTTTCTGGCGAAGTTTAATTTGATTCTATCACCGTATCCAATACTGCCATAAATACTATGAATTAAAAAAATTTATCATCGTAAAAATGCA